GGTTCCCGGGGTCTCTGCTCCCCACCGCCTTGTCTCTTGATTGACGGCTGGGACTGGCTGGAGGGGATCCTGACCCCGAGGTAGCCCCGGGCGCCCTGGGTGGCAGCTCACAAGCGCTCATCAGAACCTCAGTTTGCTCATTTCCAAAATGGGGATAGTAAGGTCTCCTGGGGAGGGAGGATTAGACTGGGCAGCGCCTAAAGAGCCCAGCTGCAGCCCTGCCCGTGCGCGCTTCAGAAGTGATGGTGATTCTCGCGGCTTACGACCTTGTGTGTGTGAGACAGGCGGGAGGTCACGCACAGATTCATCCACTCAGGTCACCATTCATTGAATGCCAACTGTGTGCCAGACCCTGAAGAGGGGAGTTCGTAGGGTAGAGAAGAGACAGATACTCTCTGTCTTCAATTGAACAAGAGCATGGAGTACCTGGGCTCCCGCTGCTGCGTGCATCTCGACCTGGCGGGCATGAGCACCTTGACATAAGAAACAAACAACAAAAACCTTGAAAGAGATAAACAGGGAGGAATGGTGGAATGGGGTCACCAGGAGGTCCTGTTAGAGGGGGTGATGCCTGACAGAGGAGGAGAAGCCCATCCCTGGGTACAGATGGGAGAAGGGATCCCAGTGTACCTACAGCAGGTGCAAAGGCCCTGAGGTGGGAATGAACTTGGTGGGTTTAGATAACAGTGAGGCAGAGGTAGGAGTGGCTACGCGGAGCAAACATGAGAGGGTGGGAGGGCGGAGATGCTAGGAGGAGGGCTTCAGGACAGGGATCCACTGGGAGCTGTGGGAGGAGAAGTGGGATGGAGATTGATTTCTGTTTTAAAACTGTGAATGGGAGTCTCATCCTTCCAGCTGCCTGGGCCTGATCCCACTGTACTCCCGTCCTTTCAGGTTCATGAACTTATGAAGCTGTGCTGGGCCTTGAGCCCACAGGACCGGCCGACCTTCAGTGTCCTGGGTCCGCAGCTGGACGCGCTGTGGAGTGGAAACCGGGGGTAGCAGCCAAGGGCCTCAGACCTATGCCTTCTCCGCCGGCTCATCCCAAGGGCAAACCTGTTCCCCGTCCTCTTCATATCTCCAGAACTCAGATCTCCATGTGACCTCAGGCAGAGGACTGCCCCTCTCTGGTCCCCTGAGGCCTTGGGAGGGTCCCTGCTTCATGAAGACCCCTCCTGGGGCAGATGACATTGGTCAGCAGCCTGGTGGCCCCAGGAACTTGTAAAAATGCAAGGCAGATGGCTCCTGAGCCCTGCCCGCAGATGCAAGGGACAAAATTCAAGCCCCTCCTGGCCTCCCAGCCCTTCTTGGTGTGGCCCTGAGTTTCCTTTCTTCTTCCCAAAGTGGATACAATATAACTTTAAGTATGTGATCTCAGGCGTTGCTTTTTGGGGGGTACAGGGGATTGCACTCAGGGGCACTTGACCACTGAGCCCCACCCCCAGCCCTATTTTGTATTTTATTTAGAGACAGGGTCTCACTGAGTCGCTTAGGGCCTCACTAAGTTGCTGAGGCTGGCTTTGAACTCGAGATCCTCCTGCCTCAGCCTCCAGAGCTCTGGGATGACAGGGGTGGCCACGGCGCCTGGCGAGGGCGTTGCTCTTTGACCCAAGGATGAAGTGCTGTCCTGCTTGGGGTTTGCAGGACAGAGCCTGTGTCTGTTCCGGATGGAGTAAGGAGACAGGGAGGCCAGGGTTCCAGTGTCCCCCTAGCCATGCCTGAGTGTCCCTGGACTTCAGTTTCCCTACCTGTCAGTAGGACCCTTTCTGTCTTGACCCTCTAAGGTCCCACAACAGATGATATGAGAGCCTGGTGGGAACTTTTGAGGCAATTGAGAGAAGGAACAGCATTCCTGGCAGAGAGAACAGCACGCCAAGGGTGAAGGGGCTCAGAGTACAGAGGTGAAGAGCCCAGGTGTTGGAGCCCACATTTCCCCCATTTACTGTGTGAGGGTGGGCAAGTTGCTTCTCCTCTCTGGTCTCAGTTCTGCAAGGGCAGAACTGGCCCTTTGGTGGTAGAGGCAACTTCCTGAGGCTGGCGAGGAGGTGTCCCGTTCGGGTTATGCTCCTATCACTCTTCTTTATCCGAAGGGTTTTCGTTACTTTGCCTCCCTGTGAAGCTCTTATTCATCTCTCAAAACCCCAGCTGTCATGACCTTCTGTGTAGCCCCCACACACGCCGCGCCAGCCCTGTCCTGCCCTCCAGTCTAACCGCTGACACGGGGGCTCTTGGGGCCTGAGCTGAGGTCTTAGCTCAGGGTGGGCACACAGTGGAGTCTGTCTGGGAGTGTTTGTTGAATGAATAAAGGATTCAGTGGGAAGGAGGATTTGTTGGTGTTCTTGGCATCTGAGGGTCTGACAGGGCTGTGGGCCAGGTCACCTTGGGGGTCCACTGTGGGATTCTTGGGCCAGACTGGGGAGGAGGGCAAGTGGGGGAGACCTTGGCCAGAGGACAGGCCTCCTCCCCTCCAGCCCAGCTGCCGGCCTTGGCTCCGACCGTCCTGGGAGAGCTGATTACAGGTTCCTGGGGGGCGGAAGGAACAGCCTGCTCTGGGGTCAGAGGGCAAGGCTGGACAGCAGAAGGCAAGGCTACGGGAAGGGGCAGCCTCAGCTGGGGCAGGCCAGCCCCCATGACGCAGAGACGGAGAAGGGGGAGACAGGGAGGCTGAGCGATGGAGGCCAAGAGACTTAGAAGCAGAGACCAAGGACCTCAGAAGTCCCCATCCCGCTCTCTCAGCCCCAGCAAGGCCCCGATTTGCTGGGAAAAGGGAGAGAGGGGGATGCTCTGGGAGGAAGCCAATCCCGTGGCCCACCCAGCTCCCTCTCTCAGCCTCAGTTTCCTTCTTTGGCAAAAGGGAACCACAAGACACCCCCAACCCAGGCCTTTGGCAGGCCCAGGACACACGGGCTGTGCTGGTCTCCAGCCTGGCTCCCGGGAGACCCTGTGTGTGGAGACCCCTGCCCTGGGGCTTGGAGGAGACCCAGGCCCTGCTCAGTCCCCTGGGGCCTTGGACAGGCCTGGGGTCCCTGTGTGGCCCTCAGTTTCCTCCCGTGGGCAGTGTCAGGGACAGGAGGAGCCTGAACCTGCTGAGCTCCGGAGACCCCGCAGCCCCCCATGCTGGCTTCCCCCTTTCTTTCTCTCTCTGCTGTCCATCTGTCTCTGTCTGTCTGTCTCTCGGGGACTGACCCAGGCCGGGTGCTTTCATTTGCTCACACTGAGTCCCGTGGTGGAGCGTCCCCTGGGGGAGGCGGCTCCAGCCCCAGGCCCTGATCCCACCCTTGACCTTGGCCGGGCCCGCTGGGAAGGCTGTGTTCCTCCTCCAAGGGCCCCCAGCTGGGGCGGCCCAGGCCCTATAAGAGGAGAGTCCCGGGAGGGGCTGGGCGTCTTCTGCCACCATGGACCCTCGTCTGCCCGCCCGGGCACTGGCGCTGCTGGTGGCCGCCCTGGTGCTCGCGCTGGGCCCCGCGGTCGCCCTGGATGCGCGCGAGAAGCTGTGCGGGCAGCACTTCGTGCGCGAGCTGGTGCGCGTGTGCGGGGGCCCACGCTGGTCCCCCGAGGCTGGGAAGCCGGCGCCAGGCGGCGACCGTGAGTGGGGACGGGCGGGGACTGCGCTCGGGGATGCCTGGGTGGAACAGGTGCAGGCGGGCGGGCGGTGAAAGTCGCCAGAGGCTGAGTCCCCTGCGGGTGTGGGGACCGTGGGAGCAGGAGAGCAGGACATTCCAGTGCGCGGGTGGGACGCTCTGTATTGAACAACATCTTGATTTTGATGAATTTTCCCCTTAATTTTGATGTATTAAAAAGATTTTTGTTTTGAGACAAGGTGTCCGGAGCTGCTCAAGGCCTCGCTAAGTTGCTGAGGCTGGCTCCGAACTCCCGATCCTCCTGCCTCAGCCTCCAGAGTCGCTGGGAGACCCTGACTCTATATAAAGCAATAAGAGAGGGGCTGGGGATGTGGCTCAGGGGTAGAGCTCCCGGGTTCAATCCCCAGTGTACATGGGGGGGGGTTATTGCTTTATATTTTTTTATTGTCATTGTCATGGTGCTGGGGTTGGAACCTACAGCCTGGTGCATCCCGGGCACCAGCTTTACCACTGAGCCCCATCCCCGATCCCTAAAATATTCGTCTTGGTTTTTTGCTGCCTTCTCTGTGCCTCTTCCTCCTTACTCTGTCCCTGAGTCTCGTGTAGAGGGTGCTGGGTCCCTGGGTGTCCCCTTCCTGCACACGTGGGCACCTGGAGGGGCCCCCCCAACTCTGCACCTCGGGGAGTGTGTGGGTCCATCTCTGACCAGGTCTTGGAGCTGCTGGGGGAACCAGCACCATCTGCAGCTCCAGGAGCCCAACATTCTTTGGGTCGGACTTGGGGCAGGCAGGTGGCAGGTGGGGACATGTACGGCTGGGGACATAAGTATGGGCATGAGAGTAGATGACGGAACAAACAGCTTCCTGTGTGTGCAGGGGCCCCAAATAAGCAAGCCAGTTTCTCTCTCTCTTTCTGTACCGGGAATTGAACCCAGGGCACTCGACCACGGAGCCACATCCCAGCCTCATTTTGTGTTTTATTTAGAGACAGGGTCTCACTGAGTTGCTTAGGGCCTCACTTTTGCTGGCTTTGAGCTCACCATCCTCCTGCCTCAGCCTCCTGAGCCGCTGGGATGGCAGGTGCGCCCCACTGCGCCAGCCTTTTATTTTTTATTTATAGACAGG